AAAAAAAAAAAGTGATAAACGAATTTTTTTATTTGATTTTTAACGATAACACGTCGCGCGAATAAACGTGTACGTAAACTTAGGCCTAAAGTGTTCACATAATAATCATTTTTAACCCTCGAAAGTGATAAGGTGCTATAAAACGACAGAGACACCTACGTGGGCGTCGCTAAACGTTTAGGTGCAATATTGTACACTAATAGACGTACATGGTAATAATAAAATAATTATACCGCCTTGGGGTACCGGTGAACCACCTCGTGTGCGGTGCGCATCTTTTAGATGTACTCGGCCCGAACCCTGTAACTCGATTTGTGTGTACACTTAGGGTTGTGTTTAAACTCTAATTAAATCGCTCATACGTTTATATTTTTTTCGCGTGATTTGATTAACCCCGTGCCAATTCCTCCAAATTATTCGTCAACGCGGGTTAATTTTCTAATTAAAGATTTTTGACAATTTTTATGTAAAAAAAGTACATCTATCTGTTGGCACGTGTATTGGGAATATCCGTACGGCAAGTCGCGCGCCATCGTTTACCGGGTGGCTCGCCACACGACATCATGGCCGTCGAGGAGTGGTAATAATATGTAAACACCGTACACGGTAGTCGCGGTAACCGGAGGTGAATGTACATTTTGAATAAATCGTCCTGCCTGACCGGGCCCCTGTTGAGCAGGCGGCGGCGGGTGGTTTTTGTCGCTTCTTCCGACCTCCCGCGGTGGACACTTGGGCTCCCGTTCGTCGTGTACGGCACAGCACGACAAGTAGCAGCCGACTATCACAACAACAACTTGGAAAAACAGCTTACCGACGTCAGGAGATCAACACGTTTTTTACAGGGCACCCTTTCGCGTATCCGCAAAACAGAAACGCATCCATTTCAGTCGAAATAAGATAAAGAGAATCCCAACGATATTTTGCGTTAACAACAAGCGTTTCATCGGAAAACTAAGTGGTTTTCATCAATTGACTTACGTATTTCGACAATTTTTTAATTGAGTTGTGCGTTTTGCAATTGAAACTCAACACAAAACAGGTGAAAACATCATTGTCAAAGAATATTTTGAAAAAAAAAAAAGGTTCCTACGCAAGTAGAAGGTGGTTTTCGAAATAATATCTTTTGCCACGGCCAGGTATCT